TACCTATGGACACTGTGCTCTGGTGGGAGAGTATAGCCCAGTTTTAGGAATGGACTGTTATATTTTTATTATTCCTGATCTTGTTTTCTAGTAAGTAGAAGTTATGCTTATTATTGCTTTTACCTTATCATTTAGCAAATGTTTTATGTTAAAGAATTAATGATGTCATGACTGTACATGTATAACCTATATCAAATTGCCTGTCTTCTCAATGAGGGGGAAGAGAGGGAGAAAAAGAATTTAGAAGTCAACATTTTAAAAAATGAATGTTAAAAATTGTTTTTACACATAACTTGAAAAAATACTTAATTAAAAAAAAATTGATGGCAAACTAAAACCCTTAAACTAGGTGGTCTTTAAGATTCTTAACAGCTTTAAATCTATGAACCTACCTGAAATAAGGCAAACTGTTTGCTCCATCAATATTTTGGTCCACTAAAAGCCCAGATCATATTCTGCAAGGACATTCATGGTTTTCTTGCTGATAAATCCCAAAGCATCCATACCTCCACTTAAAACACTCTTACTCTATACAGGAAATGTTTCAAGATTAGATTTTTACTTTATGTTTCCTTACAGCATTGACAACTTAAAACCAGTTACTGATATTTAAATATTAAACTAAATATGAATTCTCCACTTTGATTCATCACCAGGTTTATCACCCACCTAATTATCTCTTTTTCCTAATGGAGTGCTATAATCCTTACAGTGACTACATAAAACAAAGAATAATGCTCAGTAAAGATAGAAACATCACACTTTAATTATACTGGGTTCCTGTGTATATGCAATACATATTTATGACATAAAATACTAATAAATTGTGGGATTAACAATTAAATAAAAAAAATTTTTGAAAAAGTTAATGGTATCATGTTGACTGATTTTGTATAAATGTGAAGCATACATTGGGGGCTCAGAAATTATGGTGTTGAGTAATAGGAGTATATTCTTCCCACAACAGGATTACTCCTAAAATTTGAGAGTTTTGAGGTTTAGTAGGGAGCTGTATCTAGCTCTGGGAACCCCAAACTTGCCAGCATGAGCGTAGATTGAATGAGTGAACTAGTCTACAGAGCAACAATTGGAGGGCCACACCATGCCAGGTTACATAAGCAATAATTTTGTTACGGTTTCATTTTGTGGCAGCAATAGTGATGGGTGTATGCTTGTACTGACACAGAACATCTGTCTTTGACCAGATAAAATCAGATTGAGCAGGTTTCCCCACCTTTGGTTAGTTTTCCATAAGCTGAGTGATACATTTTGTACCAAACATGTTTCACTGCACTTTTTAATTGTTTTTAATTCTGTAGTTTTTAAGAATGGACATTACTCCAAGGAAATGTGCAAAAGTTGTAGCTCTTAAAGAGTACAATTGTTCAACTGAATTCAATTATTGTTGGAGCTAATAATTGAAAAAAAAAGTTCAATGATTGTTGGAGATATTGCAATGGCTGTTCGTGGGAAGTTAAGCATTTAGATCATTCAAGCCCACAATGAAATAGAATTAGTTGCACTGATGTACAAAAGAAAGTGCTGTTGAAAACTAAATATTGCTGCTAGTAGCCTAATTAATCCTCAGAAAACAAGCAAAGCTGTTCCAAGTGACTCAGCACGTGGAGGGGCTGTTATTGGTTCTTCCTCTATAGTACAGCATAGGCTTCGTGAATGAACGAGGTGTTAAAAGCTGCTAACCATTCCTATGAAGAAAACATATTTGTCATGGGCAAGATATTACAAAAACTAGATAGTGAAGATTGGAAAAAGGTGAATTTTACTGATGAAATCAACTTCTTCATTCAAAGATATTCCAAAACCATTGTCAGAAGAATTCCAGATGAGTCTGTAAGATGTGGGCATTTTTATTAGACTGTAAAACCTCCACACAAAAAAGTAGGGTTTTTTTGGGGGGAGGGATTGTTCGTTTTTTTTACTTCCAATGGGCTGTCTTGTTAAGGGAATAATTGATAACCGTATTGATTTACCGATGTAGTACATGTGGTCTCAACAGCATGGGTTCTTAATGTGTCATAGACTCCTTTGGCAGTCAGATGAAGCCTATGAATCCCTTCTCAGAATGTTTTCAAATACATAAAATCAAATACATGGGATTATAAAGGAAACCAATTAGATTGAAATTATTATAAAATATTTTTTAAAACAAGTTGATAGACCCCAGGTCAAGAACCTCTGTTCTAGAGCTATTATCCCAACTCCCACTTTCACTGATGCGCTGGGTACCCAGAGTATCCACTCACGGCTCCAGGGGTAGCCCTGATGGGCTATGGGGTTGTTTTTCTAATGTAATGTATTGAATATTAAGCATACCTTTGATGAACATTCATTTTTCCAAGTCAAACTTTTATTATAGCCCATAGGTTTTCAAGGAAGCTCTTGTGTTACTGAAGCATGTTTATATCCATTTCTTGGATAAATTTCTTAATCCTCTGTGATTTGAGACATGGGATAAGATTGTGTTGCTCCATTAGTGTGTTTCCTTCATTGATTATCAGTCAATATCAATTAGCCACTCAGACGTAATTAGCTTTTAGAAAGGGGTAAAGTTTATAAAATGGTATGGTAGAAACAGTTCATATAAAATATCCCTTCAAGAATCTGTGACACATACTCCTACTCAGTACATAAAAAGTCCAGGGAAAAGGGCTCGAGCTTATTGATCACATGTGGCAAAGGAGTAACTCACAGCTCCTGGCAATCCTTTTGTTGGAATCCTCGAGATGTTCTCCTTAATTATAATATAGTGTTTTGTTTGGTTGTTTTTTTAACCTGTTGGGGTTTTGTTTGGGTCTTTTTGCTGGGATGTGAAACTATTCAGTCTGCCCTTGGGTCCCAATGCAGATACTGTGGGGTACAACAGAGCCACTGCTGTAGCAAGGATGCTGCTAAAAATAATAAATTTTTTTAAAAAATTGAAAGTCAAAATCTTCTGACCATGCAAAGTTAACAAAGTGTTCTTCCAAGTCATTGGGGAAAAGAGGCAAAGGCTGAGGCTAAGACGAACATACTCTTCTACCCCACAAACAGGTGCTTCTTAGGTTGATCTTTGGCTCAAATGTTTACTCTGTGCTGACAGATATTTGAATTCCTGAGTTCTGAACTAGCTCATTGTTTAACACAATCCCCCCGCCCAGAGAATGACCAAATTTAATCAGCTAATCTGAACACATTTTTTATGCAATGTCACTCCAGTTGATCAAGGACTTTTTCTTCACTTAGTCAAAAGCCTATAAGTGATTCACTAGAGAAATATTCTCACTTGGCTATCAGGACTTAATATCTTCACACTTACATTAATGGGAAACAGTGATTTGATTTACTCAATCAAAACCTTTCTTCCAGTCCCCAAATCTTTACCTGTGTATTGAGATGCAGAATTGTTCTGAAATTACAGAAATTCCCAAATGGAGATGGAATACTGCAACACAATTTTGTCCCATGTCTCAAATCACAAAAGATTAAAAAATTTATCCAAGAAATGGATGTAAACATGCTTCAATAACACAAGAGCTTCCATGAAAACCTATGGCCTATAATAAAGGTTTGACTTGGAAAAATGAATGTTCATCAAAGGTATGCTTAATATTCAATACAACAGAAGTGGTTTCGTGATGAATTAACCAATGTCTAAATCTTGTGAATTCAGTGCCTAATCATGAAAAACAAGTTTTTTGCAAAGGAAGTCATTATATATTAAAGGTTTTTTTAAATTTTATTGGTTTTTTTTTTAGAGGCAGCTAGGTGGTGCAGTGGATAGAGCACTGGCCCTGGAGTCAGGTGGACCTGAGCTCAAATTTGACCTCACAAACATGATACTCACTAGCTGTGTGACCCTGGGCAAGTCACTTAACCCCAACTGCCTCGAAAAAAAAGTTTTTTTAAAACAAAAGTTACAATGTTTATTGAATTACCCAACAAATTTGTTTACTTTTCCTCCAAGTAATTAGCACACCAATATAGTTCTGTCCTAACATAAAAACATAAATTCATAATATCTCTCCCATACACTCCCTCAAGTCTCTTTTCTGACACTGCCAACACACTGGTGCAAGCCCTCGTCATCTTATGCCTGGACTATTGAAATTGTCTTTCCTGTCTTGTCATCCTCTACTCAGAGGCCAAATTGAGCTTCCTAAAGTGCAGGTATAGATATCACCAACTCCCCTCCCACCTTCCATTTAATAAACTCCATCAACTTCCTATTACTTCCAGGATCAAATATAAAGTCTTACTTGGATTTTAATGCCTTTCATAACTTGGCCCTCTCCTGCCTTTCCAGTCTTCTTACACCTAATTCCCTTTCACATACTTTAGCAGCCCCTTTGTTGTTCCTCCCATTGGACTGGCCATTTTTACTGACAGTTCCCCCTGTACAGAATTCTCTTCTTCCATCTTGTCTCTGCCTCCTGACTTTCCTCAAGGCCCAGCCTTTCAGTATCCCTCTTAATGCTAGTGATTTCCCTCTGCTGATGAATCCAATCTATCCTGTATATATCTTGTTTGCACATGGTTGTTGGCATTGTCTCCACAATTAGACTGCGGGATCCGTGAGAAGGGACCTTTTTTTGCCTTTCTTTGTACCCTCAGTGCTTGGCATAGCGCTTGGCAAACAGTTGGCACTTAATAAATGCTAGATAACTAATCACCTTGCCTGCAACACAGCAAATCTAACTAAATGCTTTGATTTGACTGGGCTGGGTTATTTGAGGGATGGGAGGGCAATAAGGAACCTGTAACACTGAGAGGGAATGAGGTTGGGGAGAGGGCTGACATTATGGTGGAGGGCGGTAGCAAGCAAGGCTCGAGGCTGGCCCTGTCCTTGACACCCGAGTCAAAGGCTGCCCCGCCCCCTCCCCTTTAGTTCACAGCCCCTGGGGCCCGCCCCGGTGACGTAGGCGGTCTGGAGGGCGGGGCCAGACTGGCGGGGCCTCTCCGCCCAGGCAACGCAAGGGCCACCTCTTTGGGGTCCTGGCGGCAGCGCTAACGCTGCGGCCCTAAGGAAGATGGCGGCGCCCTGGTGGAGAGTCACGCTGTACGGAACGCGGAGTGCCCGCGGCTTCAGCACTGCGGGTGAGGGGCCGGGATGAGGAAGGGACGAAACGGGGCCGAGGTCGGGGTCGTAGTCGCGCTCTCTGGCTGGACCTAGCCTTTCTGCTACTGACTCGCTGGTTATTCCGCCCCATAGCCGTCCTGAGCCGCCGGTCCGCCCCGCTGGGGCCCATGCCCAATGAGGACATCGACGTGAGCGCGCTGCAGACCCTGGAGAAGTATCGCAGTTTCGACCGCTACCGGCGCTGCGCCGAACGCGAGGCGAATGCCCAGCACTGGTGGAAGAGCTACCGCGACTACTTCCGGCAGCCCTCAGGTGCGCGAGGGCGCCTCGGGATCTCCTCCCTATCATCGCGAGACCCGACCGGCCCCGCCCCGCGCCCAGCCCTGGTCTTTGCCCTCTCTCCCATCACTCAACCTTAGATAGAGGGAGAGGTGGGCGGCCGGCATACAGACCCGCCTCATTTTGCAGCTGAAGAAACTTGGACCTACCTGAAGAGTTGCCCCAGGGCACCCAGAGAGGGTTATTTTTCCTGAAAAAATGTAGATGATACTCTATCTCACTATAATCGTAGGCAAATGATTTCACCCCTCTGGGCCATCAGTTTCAGCATCTGCAAAATGGAGATAATAATAATTATCATAGCCAACATTTGTAGAGCGTATGTTTATGCAGCAGGCGCTGTGCTGATTTACAATTATGATCTCATTTGATCCCCACTACACTCCTGGGAGTTAAGTGCTATTTTTATCCCTATTTTACAAATGAGGAAACTGAGGTCTGCAAAGAGCGCTGAAGAGTTTCACACAAGTGCACCCAGATAGTGTTACTTTTCCTGAAAAAAAAAAAAATGGAGATGATAATTGTGTCTCGCTACAAACTTAGGCAAATGATTTCATCCCTTTGGGCACCACATCTGTAAAATGGGGATGATAATAATAATAGTTAATAGTCTTTATATCACTTAAGTGTGTGCCAGGAAATGTGCTAAGTGCGTTACAATGATGATCTTATTTGATTCTTACAACACCCCTGGAAATTAGGTGCTATTATGATCCTCATTTTACTGATGGGGAAACTGAGGCAAACAGTGGCGAAGTGACATGCCAGAGTCACACTTAGTATGTAACCTGTATTCTTGGAGGGAGTACCCAAATCAAGGAGATCAAAGATGTGAGAATCAAATGAATGTATATAAAGCATACTAGAGACCTCAAATCGCTGCCCCAATTTCAGTTCCTACTATTAGAGTTATTATTATAATTAATACTACTGACTTCTTGGTGTAATGATAAATGTAGAAACCAAGGCAAGAATACAAGTTTTTTGCTCTTTCCTCGATGTGATCCTGAACAAGTCATTCTGTTTTTCTGAGACTCAAACTTTCCTCTTTTGTAAAATGGGGAGGGTAATCCATGTACTACTTAATTCATAAGGTGAATGCAAGGAAAGTGCTACGTAAAGTCTTCAAGCAGGACATATTACTATCATTGAGCTCTTTATAGTTAAAGTTACCATCACTCATGTCACCGTTTCATTTAATGCTGACATTAACCCTGTGAAGTAGGCAAATATTATCATTTCATCCCATTTTACAAAAGAGGAAACTAAGGTTGTGAGAGCAGTACATTTGTGCAGTTTGCCCACATCTCACAGATAACAAGTAGTGGAATCCAGGCTAAAACTGGGCTCTCAGCTTCAAATTCATTGATTTTGTTTTTAAAGATACTGATATTCCTTGTATATGTTTGTTTGTTTTTTTAATATCGCCATCACTTCCAAGACTTCCCTTTTCCACAGAACGCTTCCCTTGTAACAGAGATACAATTAAGCAAAACAAATTAATACTTTGGCTATCTGAAAATACACCTAATCCTGCACCACCACCTTTCTGCTGAGAAGTGGAGGCACGCTTCACTATGACTCATCAGTTCATACAGGTCTTCCATAGTATCTCAGAATCCATGTTTGTTATTCTTGTGGTTCAAAAATATTCTGTTCCATTCATATAGGCAGCTGGGGGTTAAAATGCATAGAACAAATGAGCTTGGAATCAGACAGTCCTGAGTTCAAATCCTGCCTCAGATACTTTCTAGCTGTGACCCCTAGGCTTAACCTCTATCTGCCTCAGTTCTCACCTGTAAAATAATATCTACCTGAATGGGATTTTGTGAGAATCAAATGAGATAATATTTGCAAAGTTTAAAGTGATGTGCTGGGCCTCATCTTCCTGAATTCAAATCCGCCTTTAGACGCTAGTCATGTGACCCTGGGTGAGTCACTTAATCCTGTTTGCCTCAGTTTCTTCATCTGTAAAATGAGCTGGAGAAGAAAATGGCAAACCACTCCAATATCTTTGCCAAGAAAATCCCAAAAGCGGTCACGAATCAGACACGACTGAAGAACAACATGAAAGATAAGATTGACATGGGGAAAAACGAGGCAAGGAAATCAGTTAGGAGGCAGTAATCTAAGAGAGAGATGATGAGGGTCTGCAATAGGGTGGTGGCAATGTGAGTAAAGAGAGGAGAATGGTTTAAGAGATGTTGTGAAGGTAGCTTTAGCAATGCCTTGCGTATGTGTGGTGTGAGAGGGATACCAAGCTTGGGGACCTGGGGGAGTGGAAGGATGGTGGTGCTCTCAACAGAAATATGGAAGTTTGGAAATAGGGTAGGTTTGGGGGAAAGGTAATGAGTTCTAGATGGGACATCCAGCCCAAACATTGTTGGTGTAGGGCTGAAGCTCAGAAGAGCAACTGTGACCAGATATTTAGATGAGAGTTCTCTATGTAGAGATGACAGCTGGTGAGATCAACAAGAGAGTATAGAGAAGGGATAGAGGTCCTTAGTGGGGCCTGCCATGCTTGATGATCCCAAAAAGGAGACTGAGAAGGTGGGGAGAGAACCAGGAGAAAGAAGTATCAGGAAAACCCAGAGAGGAGAGAGTGTCTGGGAAAAAAATAGTTGTTATCAGTATCATGTGTCACAGAGGGGTAAAAAAAGGAATGAGAACTGAGAAAAGGCCCTAAGATTTGTCATTAAGAGATCATTTGGGGGGCAGCTAGGTGGCTCAGTGGATAGAGCACCGGCCCTGGATTCAGGAGGACCTGAGTTCAAATATGACCTCAGACACACAACGCTTACTAGCTGTGTGACCCTGGGCACATCGCTTAACCCCATTGCCTAGCCAACAAAAAAAAAAAAAAGAGAGAGAGAGAGAAATCATTAGCACCTTTGGAGAGAGCAGGGGTGTCCAAGTCTTTGGAACTGTCGAAAGATAGGAGGACTTCAAATGCTGAATGAGACATGCATTGTTGCCAATGTGGGAATTTGATTGCGGGACTATGCACCTTTATTATGGGGGTTTTCTTTTTCTTTTTTTTCAATTGTTCATTTGGGGAGCAATGCAAGGGAGAGATAATACGTGCTTCTACAACAGGCCTGCACAATATTGAGGGCCGCTTACAGCCAGCCGAATGATTTCAGGTGGCCTTGAATATACAAATCCCTGAGCAAAACTGACTGTGCAAAGTTCCCTTAGGGCAAGCCTGCACAACATGTGAAAAATGTAGAGAATGTAAAACAGGCCATATGTTGTGCAGGCCTGTTATAGAAGATTTTTTTTTTTAAATAACATGGAAAGAACATGAAAGGAAAAGGAGTAGGAAGGCAGCTTGGGGTAAGGAGAGGGCACTGAATTTGGAGTCAAGAAAATTTAGGTTCAAATCTATTCTCCCAGAATGGGAATTCCAAAGGGCCCGATGGAAGGGGCTAGCAGAGCTCGAGTGGGTGTGGGATTGGACTGAGGTCGATGAGGTTGAGGGAAGGGACAATGGAGGCTGTGCAATGAGGTGGTTTATTCTCAGGGATTCAGGAACACTGGGATTGGGAGAGTAAAAAGGACTAGGAGTTTGCTAGCCATACGAGGAAGAGTCTAGGCAGAGAAGCCGTAGATGGGAAAGCTCCAGTGATGATGGCATGGGAGTAAGTCGCTCTCAGTCTTGGGTCTGCTTCAGTATTTTCATAGGCTCTGCAGTTTGTTCAGCCATTCCCCCACCTACGGGCACACCCTTTTCTTTCAGTTCTTGACTGCTGCCTCCGGGGCCATCTCCAGTTGTCCTGATGGAAATCTGGCCATGGGACCCAGATGGCTCTGGAGGAGAAAGTGAGGCTGGTGACTTTGCACAGCCCTGCCTCAGTGTAATCCAATTCACTTGCAAGTCATGGCATCACCTCCCTGATGTCATGGTCCTCTTCCGAGAACGAAGGACTAGCAACAGAAGCAGCAGCAGTGCTGCTGTAATTATGAAATAATTATGATAATAATAATAATTATAAAAATAGGAAAATAGCTTATGTTTTTCTTTGGCCTTCTTGGGGCGTTGCCTTTTCTCCTCTGCCAAAGCTGCTTCCTCATCCCCCCATTTAAGGAAACATGGGCCTCAGCTGGAATGTGCTCCCTGTCACTTTCATACCTACCTCACCCACAGCTCCCGCATACTTTCTGCTTCTGTCCCTGGCTGGGTTGCAGAACCACTGCTGGCATCTTTATTATGTCACACAAAGATCAGAGCTGGGGCAAATCTGGGAGCTCATCTAGGCCAACCCCTTCAATTTACACAGGAGGAAACTGATGTCCGGAAGGGGCGAGTTACTTAATTCAGGCCATGCCTGCTAACTGTCACTAAATTTTTGATTTCGAGTAAGCCCTCTCCTCCCCTGGCTTCAGTTTGTTCTTCAGTAAAATGATGGTGTTGTACTAGATGATCTTGAAGGTCACTCCCATTTAGTAGTATCAGGATACTTTTTTAAAATAAATTTTTATTTACATCATTATATATTTCCCAATTATATGTAAAAAAAGTATTTAACAGGAGCAGCGAGGTGGCGCAGTGGATAGAGCTCCGGCCCTGAAGTCAGAAAGACCTGAGTTCAAATCTGGCCTCAGACACATAACACTCACTAGCTGTATGACCCTGGGCAAGTCACTTAACCCCATTGCCTAACCAAAAAAAAAACCAAAACAAAAAAAAGTATTTAACATTCATTTTTTTTTTAAATTTTGAGTTCCAAATTCTCTCTCTCCTTTCCACTCCTCCACCTCTTGCAATGGCAAGCAATATGACAGCAATTATACACAGGAAGTCATGCAAAACATATTTCCATATTAGCCATGTTGCAAAAGAAAACACACACACACACACACACACACACATATAAAGTTTTTAATCTTCCCTCAGAGTTTATCAGTTCTGTCCCTGGAGGTGGATAGCATTTTTCATCATGTGTTCTTTGGAATTGTCTTAGACCATTGCCTCAATCAGAGTAGCTAAGTCTTTCACAGTTAATTATCCTTACAATATTGCTGTTACTGGGTGCAGTGTTCTCCTGGTTTTGCTCACTTCTCTTTGCATACATTCACATAAGTCTTCTCAGGTTTTTCTGAAACCATCAGGATACTTCTAAAGTTGCTTCAGTTTTTTGTTTTGTTTTTTTTAATCATGTTAATGTGTAAAATGTGTTTTAATCCAAAAAGAGTTGGGAGAATGTTCCAGGCATGATATCAATCTCTGCCCCCATCCAGATCCCAAAGATAAAATAGATATTGGATTTCCTCCCAACAAGAGGCACCAGAGGCAACAACAGATCCTTGAAAGGAAGACGGTCCTTCGGGAGAACCGGAGGAGGATGGAGAAGGCTGCCCAGCTCCGCAGTGGTGAGTGCCATTCCAGGCATCAGGGGTGCACCCATTTCTCCGGGTTCACCTCCTCATGTGCTTCTCTTTACAGTCTTGATCCCACTGGAAGAGGTGAAGGCTGATTGGGAGAAGACCGTTGGCCCTTACCATAAGAAGCGCCTGGCTGAGTACTACGGCCTCTACCGAGACCTGTTCCACGGGGCCACATTTGTGCCCTGGGTCCCGCTGAATGTTGCTTACACTCTGGGAGAAGAGCTGGCGATGCCTGTGTTCCAGGGGAACGAGGTTACCCCGACGGAGGTAACCTGTCCCCCTCCCTCATACACACATGCCTTTCCTACCTCCTGCTTCAGTGCCAGGGTGTCATGGTTACAAAGCATCAGGGATGGCTTCGTGCATAGTGTGATGTGAGGTGCGTGGTTCAGAGCAGTTTAGAGAAATGGAATCTCTGCATGCTTAGAATCTTACGATCCTGCCTCTCGTTCACCTCTCTGGTGTCCTGCCTGCCTGTCTGCGACACGGTCTGTGCCCTGGACTGTCTTTATTCCCTGTGAGCTACTGTAGCCCCTTTCTACCTTTTCTCTTTGCCAGGCCACTAATCCCCCAGAGGTGACATATGAGGCAGAAGAGGATTCATTGTGGACTTTGCTGCTCACCAATCTGGGTATGTACCTTTGGCTGGACAGGCCGTTATCCCTCCTTTCTTTGCTGGGCCTTTGGTATCACTGAACTGTCCTGCAAATGAAGCCCTGAGAAGTGGAGGGAAGGGACAATAGATAGAGTTGTCCCAGCTGGAAGGTGCACCATTGCAGAGCACCAGACCCCATGTCCATCCTATGCTCCATGGTAAGCAGCTTCTCTTTGTACGCAGATGGACACTTGCAGGAACAGGACGCCGAATACATCCACTGGCTGGTGTAAGTGTAACGGGGTGGGAATTGGGAGCCACGAAATGAGATGTGGGGAAGGAAGGGTGCGGTGGAGGTAGGGACATTTCTGCTGGTTTCTGATTCAAGAATATGAGTGAAAAATCCAGTTCTGTGAATAAACTTCTACAGAGGCATAATGTCAGTGGCCAGGCCACGAACATGGGACTTTGGGGGTGTTGGTGAGGGGACATATGCCACTTTCTAACACCTCTGTTTCTGCATGTACTCTGGAGGGAGCTGGCATGAAGATGGGCAGATATGCCACCTCCCAGAGTCTTGGCATTGGAGAGGGGTTACCTGTGAACCAGAAACATAATTCCTTCCTAACTAGGACCAATATCCCAGGCAACGACGTGTCCGCAGGACAGGAGATGTGCCACTACCTCCCACCCTTCCCCGCAAGAGGAACTGGGTTTCACCGGTTCACTTTCCTCCTTTTCAAGCAGCACAAGTCCATCGATTTTTCTGAAGATGCCCGTCCCACACCCTGGTAACTTCTCCTCAGAGGCCTCGCCCTGGGTGTCCCCAGAATGATTGAGCCTTGTTCTTAGCAACCTCTGAGATTTCTGAAATTTGATTGGAGGAATGGGGAATGTGCTGGGCAGAAGTGCAGAATTTTTTCCTAGGGTAGAATCTAGGAGAGGAAGAGGCATCTGTAAGACCTCTCAACCTTTTCAGATTCTTTCATCTTCCCTTTGTAGTTACCGTCTTGCTTTGAGAACCTTCCGCACGTTTGATTTCTATAAGAAGCACCAGGACTTCATGACCCCAGCTGGTCTGGCCTTCTTCCAGTGCTGCTGGGATGACTCTGTCACCCACATCTATCACCACCTGCTCAGTAAGTGGTACAGGGTAGACTCGGGAGGGAGTCAGTGCTCTCTCCGTCCGCTGCAAGGGAGCAATGTCCTATAGGGAAAGGGGTACAGGAGACTACACTGTCACCTAGCCTACACAGGCTGGCCGCTGTTCCGTGGCCCCTGCTCCGAGCCCTGCCTCAGGAACAAGGAGGAAATCTGGGGGTTTGATAGGATGCCTTCTCTGGGGAAGCTCGGGACTAGTGGGGACTAGGAGAGCGTTGTCCTGAGCTCATTCATCCATTTTACAGACATGCGGGAACCAGTGTTCGAGTTTGTACGCCCACCCCCCTACCATCCCCCACAGAAAAAGTTCCCTCATCTGCAGCCCCTTCGATATTTGGATCGATACCGAGACAGCGATGAACCTACCTATGGCATCTACTGAAGGACTGAGTCATCCAGGTGCACAGGGTACCTGGAAGGGACGACGTGACCTTAGAGCCACCCTGGCCTGCTTCGTTTTTCAAGGACGACACGCAGTAGGTTAGAGGCCCCCAGCCATCAGCTCCCTGGGAGCTCTTCTGTGAGCCTGTCATCCTGTCTGTGCTTTTCTTGTGTATCCAATGTTTTGGGAGTGAGAAGAAACTGTAGGGTATCTAAGTCAGAGAATGTGAACCAAGGTGCAGCATGGTATAGCAGATAGCTGACTTTAAAGTCAGCACAACTTGGGTTCAAATCCCACATACTGGATGTATGACACTAGCCTCTCAGTGTTCCAGGCAATAGTCTTCTCCCCCTCCCCCCAACGATTTTTATTTATTTCATTAAATATATCTCAATTACATGTAAAAAGAATTAACATTCTATTTTTTTAAATTTCGAATTCCAAATTCTCTTCCCCCCTCCCCCTTGAGAAGGCAAGCAATGTGATGTAGATCATACATGTGAGGCCATGAAATATATATTTCCATGTTAGCCATGTTGCTAAAGAAAACACAGACACCCCCCCCCCAAAAAAAAAAACAAAAAAAAACAAGAAAAATAAAGTAAAAAATGTATGCTTTGATTTGCATTCAGACTCCATCAGTTCTTTCTTTAGAGGTGGATAGCATTTTTCATTATAAGTCCTTTGGAATTGTCTTAGATCATTGTATTGATCAAAATAGCTAAGTCATTCACAGTTGATCTTCAATACTATATTGCTGTTACTGTGTACAATGTTCTTCTGGTTGTGCTTACTTCATTTTGTATCAGTTCACATAAGTCTTCCAGGTTTTTCTGAAACCATTCTGTTCATCATTTCTTTTTTTTTTTTCTTTTTCTTTTTTTTTTTTTTGCTAGGCAGTGGGGTTAAGTGACTTGCCAGGGTCACACAGCTAGTTAGTGTCAAGTGTTTGAGGCCAGATTTGAACTCAGGTTCTCCTGACTCTAGGGCTGGTGCTCTATCCACTATGCCACCTAGCTGCCCCACATCATTTCTTATAGCGCAATAATATTCCATCAAAATCATGTACCACAACTTGTTCAGTCATTCCTCAATTGACAGGTATCCCCTCAATTTCAAATTCTTTGCCACCACAAAAAGAGCTTCTATAAATACTTCAGTACATAGAGATCTTTTCCCTTTTTCTTTGATCTTTTTGGGATACAGACCTAGTAGTGGAATTGCTGGGTCACTAGGAACAGTTTTATAGCTCATAGTTCCAAATTGCTCTCCAGAATGGTTAAATCAGTTCACAACTCTACCAACAGTGCGTTAGTGTCCCAATTTTTCCACATCCCCCCAAAATATGTCATTTTTCTTTTCTGTCATATTAACTAATCTGATAGGTGTGAGATGGTACCTCAGAGTTGTTTAAATTGCATTCCTCTAATTAATAATGATTTAGAGCATTTTTTCATATGATTGTAGATAGCTTTTATTTCTTTTTCTGAAAACTGCCTGTTAATATCCTTTGACCATTTATCAATTGGGAAATGACTTTAATTCTTATAAAGTTGACTCAGTTCTCTATATATTTGAGAAATGAGGCCTTTCTCAGAGAAACTTGCTATAAAAATGTTTTCCTATTTTCCTGCTTTCCCTCTAATCTTGGCAGCATTAGTTTTGTCTGTGCAAAAACTTTAAAATTTAATGTAATCAAAATTATCCATTTTACCTTCTATGAGGCTCTTTCTCTTGTTTAGTCATAAATTCTTTCTTTATCCATAGATATGACAGGTTCCCCTAATTTGCTTATGATATCCTTTTTCCTTTCTGTCTAAGACATATATCCATTTTGACCTTATCTTAGTATACAGTGTAAGATTTGGTCTATACCTAGTTTCTGCTAACCTGCTTTCCAATTTTCCTAGCAATTTTTTGTCAGATAATGAGCTCTTGTTCCAAAAGCTTCTATCTTTGGATTTATCACATACTCGATTATTATGGTTATTCACTACTGTTATGTTGTGTACTGAATGTATTCTACTGATCAACCACTCTTTATCAGTACCAGATTGTTTTGATGATTACTGCCTTATAATACAGTTTGAGATCTGGTACTGCTAAGCCAGCTTCCTTCATATTTTTTCATTGAGTTCCTTGATATTCTTGACCTTTTGTTCCACCAGATGCATTTTGTTATTTTTGCTAGCATTATGAAATAATTTTTTGGTAGTTTGGTTGGTATGGCACCAAATAAGTAAATCAATTTAAGCAGAATTGTCATTTTTATTAATTGGCTTGGCCTACCCATGAACAATTGAAATTTCTCCAGTTGTTTAGATCTGACTTCATTTTTGCGAAAGTTGTTTTGTAATTATGTTCATATAGTCCCTGGGTTTGTTTTGTCAAGTATAGTCCCAAGTATTTTATGTTATCTGCAGTTATTTTAAATGGAATTTCTCCTTCTATCTCTTCCTCTTACTTGGTTGGTAATAGGCAGTACTCTTGAGACCGTAAGTTGCTGATCAGCATTGTTGTTGTTCAGTCATGTTTCAGTCGTGTCTGACTCTTCATGACCCCATTTGGGGTTTTCTTGGCAAAGATACTAGAGTGGTTTGCCATTTCCTCCCCAGCTCATTTTACAGACAGGGAAACTGAGGCAAACAGGGTTAAGTGACTTGCTCAGGATCACACAGTAAGTGTCTGAGGCCAGATTTGAATTCATGAAGATGAGTCTTCCTGACTTCAGGCCAAACACTGTGCACTATGGTGCCACCTAGCTGTCCACAGATTCCTTAGCCAGTTAATATGCCATTACAGTGACTGTCTTTTTGATGTTTAAAGCATTGCACCTTGTACAGAAGTAGGTACTTATTGCATATTTGTTCAGATCAACCATATTTTATGAGTTCACTTCACACCAACCACATGGTATCTTTATAAAAATAGACCATGTCTGAGCCATACAGCTAGTATGTGTCGTGTCTGAGGCCAGATTTGAAGTCAGGTTCTCCTGACTCCAGGGCTAGTGCTCTATCTACTGCGCCACCTAGCTGCCCCCCGCATATGATTTTTTAAAAACTGGAAAACAAAAGACAATGTAATTGATAAAACTAAAAGCTGCTTCTTTTTTGGGAGGGAGGGGGGAGGAGGAGACAATCAGGGTTAAATGACTTGCCCAGGGTCACATAGTAAGTATCTGAGCCTGATTTGAACTTAGGTCCTCCTGACTCCAGGGCTGGTGCTCTATCCCCTGCACTACCTAGCTGCCCCTAAAAGTTGGTCCTGGAGTCAGTTATTTGAAACTTAATTCAAATCCAGCCTCAGATACCTTCTAGCTGTGTGACTCTGGGCAAGTCACTTAACCTCTGTCTGCCTCAGTTTCCTCAACTGTAAAATGGGAATGATAATAGCACCTATCTCCCAGGGTTGTTGAGAAGTTCAAATGAGATAATAATCATAAAATGCTTAGCACAGTGCCTGGAACCTAGTAAGCAATATATGAATGTTAGCTATTATTATTAAATCAAGAAACATGATAAAAAAGAAACAGAAAAATGAAATTACCAAAGCAAAAAAGGAACAAAGTGAAATTTCAAGAGAAAAGAAAATAAGAATTTTCAGAACCTTCTAAACAAAATTATATTCTAGCAAAACTGAAAACTTAAAAGAAATGGACTTTTACCTATGAAGACATGAAATGTGCAAATTAACAGAATATGAAGTAGAGATCTTAACCCAATTTCAAGAAGTTAATTTGAAAAAGCCTTAAAGAAACTATCAAAAGTGGGGGAAAAAAATCCTTGTCCAAATAGATTTACAGGTAAATTCTATCAAATATTTAAAGAGCAATTAATATTTGTATGACACAGTTTATTCTAAAAAACACTGAGTAAAATACTTTACCAAACCCATCTTATGAAACAAATATAGTCCTAATACCTACACTAGTAAAGAGTGAAGCAAAGGGAACTATAAACAAATGTCACTGATGAATGAGTGCAAATATATATATATATATATTTTTTTTTTTTTTTGCTTTTTGGTGAGGTAATTGGGATTAAGTGACTTGCCCAGGGTCACATAGCTAGTAATTGTCGAGTGTCTGAGGCTGAATTTGAACTCAGGTCCTCCTGACTCCAAGGCAGGAGTGCTATCTACTGCACCACCTAGCTGCCCCAAAATATTTAAACCTTTACAAAAAGAATGCCACCACACACACACACACACACACACACACACACACACACACTCTCACTATGACCAAGGCGGGTTTATGTTAGAGATGCAAAGATAGTAACAATAGGAAAACAAAAAGTAATATCATTAAAAAACAATCCCCGACCATATGAGTATATCAATAGATCAAAGCCTTTTCAAAGTAGAGCACACATATGCTATTAAAACCACAAAGCACAGGAATAAAAGGGTCATTTTTCAAAAATGATTAAAAACTATGTAAAACCAAAACCTAGAATTAGTTGCCATATGGATGATTTGCTTAGAAAATCCTAGCAAATAGGGGGCAGATAGGTGGCGCAGTGGATGGAGCACCGGCCCTGGATTCAGAAGGACCTGAGTTCAAATCTGGTCTCAGACACATAACACTTACTAGCTGTGTGACCCTGGGCAAGTCACTTAACCCCCATTGCCCAACCAAAAACCAAAAAAAAAAAAAAAGAAAGAAAATCCCAGCAAATCACAAACTAATTGAGGCAATTTCTTCAATAAAGTAATGAAAGTGCATTAATTAGCACTTGTTGCCAACTAATTACTTAACTAGCTACTTAAAAGCATTAACTAAACACTGTGTTAAGTGCTAGGGAAACAAATTGACCCTTCTGTCAGGAAGCTCACATTCTAGTAAGTGGAGACAGTGCATATAGGGGATTTCAGCTACAGGTCAGATGGAAACGTCCAGTTGTCCTCAGACTTCAGTGTCAAAGCAAATAATTATCTTCTTGAATGTCACTTCCATTAATGAGACCATAGTAGCTTCTAATATGAACCATTTGGCAATGCAACCCTAACAACGTTAAAAAGGTCATACATTATTACCAGAGTGGATTTATTTCAGGAATCATGGGTTCAATATGAGTGAAAACATAGCAGACATAATAAATATACTAAAAACATAATAGAGCATACTAATACCAAAAATCAATAAAACCCATGATTATTTCAATAAATACAGAAAAAGCTTTTTGACAAAATACAATATGCTGTTTGTTTTTTAAAAATCACTGGAAAGTGGGGGCAGCTAGATGGTGCAGTGAATAGAGCACCGGCCCTGGATTCAGGAGGACCTGAGTTCAAATGTGGCCTCAGATACTTGACACTTATTAGCTATGTGACCCTGGGCAAGTCACTTCAACCCATTGCCTCACCCTCTCAAAAAAAAAAAAAATCACTGG